GAGTGCCAATGAGACAACTCTCCATCCAAGTCAAAATTTATAAAAGTAAACCATTATAGGTCACAGTACGGTCTTCAACACGGAGCCTTGGCTCACACCGAACAGTAAGCTCAGTTTGTTTTTCTTTAATATATTGTCTTTTTATTTCAATTTGTATTATGATAATGATAAAAGATATGTTGTTCCAATATTTTACCAATTAAATAATATGATTATAATAATTCCATTTTTGCTATTTTAATTAAAATAGGAACAATTTTTAAAAACTCCTTAATTACTTCATAAACGGACTTAGCTCTTTTTTAATTTCGCTAAAATGGCTCAGTTTTAATATCTTAAAAACGCCTAACCATTGACAGTAATTTTTACGCTTTAAAATCTAATGTCTAATGTTTACACAATTTGTATTTCAGAAAACTTAACATATGCGACTATAATTCAATTAACTACTGATGTAAAATATCAATCAGTCTCGATTAACACTTATCTCTTTAGCGACTGTAAGACGCTTATACATATTCATTAGGTCAATTAATTACCTATTATGCAGGTGGCCACAGAAAAGAACAGATGTATTCCAAAAAGACAATAGGCATTTCGGGTATTCCGAAAGACTACAACATCAATTAATATATATGCGTGAACCCTCAGGGGTTCATGCAATTACTTTATTCATAAACCGGTACTTGTTTAACTGTTAATTAAGCACCAAATTGTCAAATACAGGAGTACAAGGGGAAAGGCTGTGGATTTTTTTATATAATTTCCATATGTTTAGCATTGATACAAAAAAGGGTACAGTATCCTTAATGTTCAAATACAGCGTAGTATAATGTACAAAGACTGTAAAAGAGAAAACAAATATGTGATAAATTGAATTAAACTCTGGTTTGCATGAAGAGGTAATTGACAAAACCTTCCTCCCTAAAAATCTTTTACAGATCTGAAATAAAACTTTGATATAAATTCATAAAAATCTGACAAGTAATGTTGACTTGAGAGCACTAAATATTCAATTTCCATTTCCATAGGACATAACTCAAATAAATTGAGAAGTGCTGCTTTTTTTTTTTAATTCAGCCCAAACATTGCTTATAAAAACCTTTGATATCAATTTCATTACAATCCTACAAGAAATGTAGATTTGAGAACACTTACAATACATTTTTCCTGATGATTTATATTTCCAAGGGACATAACTCTTAATCAATTAAATAAAAGCTAATTAACATTTAATTAATTCTTCCAAAACATTGCGGATATAAAACTTTGACATACATTTTATAAAAAACTAGTAAGAATTGTACATGTAAGAGTGCTTACAATACAAGAAAAGACTGAGGAACACCCAATATTGCTATGTCCCCAACATGGGTAGGTGACAAAAAACTCTTAAAATTTATATTTTAACCCAAACAAGAGACTCTCAAGAGCCTGAATCGCTCACCTGTAATTTTTTGCTTAAATCTTTCATCAATGATTATTTTTGCTTTTCAATATATATTAATGAGTGGCTTAAAAATGCCATTTAAATGTTCTTTGTATCTGTTATATTTTCTTCAAAAGCAAAAAAATGCATTTTACCCCTATGTTCCATTTTAGCCATAGTGGCTATGTTTCTTGACATACAAGGAAATAAAATACAAAATTTAAACAAGATACTCTGAAACTCATTCAGCCCAAGTTTGGCTAAAATTGATTCAGCAGTTTCAAATGAGAAGATTTTTTAAAGTAAGCAAACTAGATTAGATTAAATTGTCTTTAAAGAACAATAACTCCTTAAGGGGTCAATTGACAATTTTGGTCATATAAAACTTATTTGTAGATCTTACTTTGCTGAACATTTTTGCTGTTTATCTTTATCTATAATAATATTCAAGATAATAACCGAAAACTGCAAAATTTCCTTAAAATCATCAATTCAGGGGCAATAACCTAAAAATCAGATACCCAATTTGGCTGATAATTTCAGGGCAGGTAGACCTTGACTTAATAAATACTTTAACTTCTTGTCTGATTTGCTCTAAATGCTTTAGTTTTTGAGATATAAGTTAAAAACTGCATTTTACCCTATGTTCTATTTTTAGCCATGGCAGCCATTATTTTTGACGAAACAGAAAATAAAACACAAACTTTATTCTAGATACCCTAAGGATCATTCAGCTTAAGTTTGGTTGGAATTGGTTCAGTAGTTTCAAAGGAGAAGATGTTTGAAATAGTTTACACCGGACAGACGTCGACGCCGGACATCGCCGGACGCCAAGTGATGGCAAAAGCTGTCCCAATCATCAACATTGTGCAAAGAGGTCATCCTCTCCTGAAGCATTCAGTTATTAAGAATTATAGAATTTAGCGTTTTTATTGTACAAATCACTTGAAAATAAAACAAAAGTGCACATGCTGAAGTGTCTCATTTGCTTTACATATTGTTATTGAATTTATGTTAGAAGTCTGGAATATGAATGTTTTACTACAGGTATCACATACATTTAATATTATTTATGGACATGAGTTCTAGGTCATATCCAGTCAGATGCCAGGCAGACATGTTCAACTTTATACAATAATACCATACATCAAATATAGTGAGTCTATTGTTTATATCATCTAAGAAACAGACCTAATTATGAAAAGTGAACATTGACCAATGAACCACAAAAGTGGGGTCAAGGTCAGATGAGCCCTGCCAGACAACATGTTCACCATGCAATCATTCCACTGTGACACCAAATATAGTTGACTTATTGCTTATAGTATCTTGGAAGCAGACATAACTATGAAAAATTAACATTGATCAATAAACCATGAAAATGAGGTCAAGGTCAGATAAACCCTGCCAGACAGACATGTACACATTACAATCATACCATACACCAAATACAGCTGATCTATTTCTTATAGTATCTGAGAAAAAGACCAAACCACAAAAAATTAACATTGTCCAATGAACCATAATAATGAGGTAAAGGTCAGATGAAACCTGTTCACTTACAATCATACCATACACCAAATATAGCTGATCAATTGCTTATACAGTAATATTTGAGAAACAGACCAAACCACCAAAACTTAGCTTTTATCAATGAACCATGAAAATGAGGTGAAGGTCAGATGAAACCTTGACAAGTACACCTTACAATCATTCAATACACCAAATATAGTGGTCTACCTATTGCTTATGGTATCTGAGACACGGGATTGACCACAAAAACTTAACCTTGATCACTGATCTATGAAATGAGGTTAGGTGAACTCTGTTTGACAGACATGTATACCTTGCAAGGATCCCATATACCAATTATAGTGTTCCTTTTGCTAATAATAAGTGAGTATTTCACATGACAAAGAAACTATAATTTTTTTTCATTCAGCAGCTGAAAAATGAAAATGAGGTCAAGGACAATGGACATATGACAGACGGAAATATCGTATCATAAGGCATCTACATACTAGGTATGAAGCATCCAGGTCTTCTACCTTCTGAAATATAAAGCTTTATACAAATAGTTTAGACTGCCAGATTGTAATCCCTTTATCTCGCACTCAGCAATTTCGTTGCAGGCGAGACAAAAAACCATGATCCTCTCATAGTGAATTAAGTTCAATGAAGATTGACAAAGTGATTAAATTTACCACAATATGCCTTAGATTAAGGTTATAACCTGCACATTTGATTTATGTCTGATACCTTGTTCAGTATTGAAGATGCACACATTTGAAGTATTAGTATGTTGATGGGTTGGAGATATTTCATTGTTGTGTCATTTATTTTGTATTGCATTATTAATAAAAGTTTGACAAACAACCTACACACACAACTTCAATAGGGTCTATACAAAATTGAAAGATTTGACATTTTCATTACACATTTCACACAAGTTCTGAGCTTTTCCTCTTATCTGAATATTCATCAACACGAGTTTTCCCCCTGACAAGTCCTCAATTGCCATTAAGGAACTTATTCTGCATAAACAAAGTTCAGGACCACAGTAAAACTTCAACAAATGTAATTTTTTATAATAATGAAATATTAAAATGGATTTATAACATGGTAATATTCATTGGTGAATGATTTTTTCTAATATCATAAAATATTTGATTTAATATTAAATAGCTTAAAATTATCAAGGTTATTGAGTGAAATGTATGTATTTTCTTTTTTTTTTGGTACAAATCTGTTGTTTAGATTTCAAGTAATTTGAAAAAAAAACAATTAAACCAAATGTCCACAATTTACATAAAATTTCGACTAATGCAACAATGCTATGAATCAGAGAAGTATGTTTACTCACTTTTGTCTTGAGAAGGTATACAATTCAAGATGGTTAACAATTTTTGATGATTTTTAGTTTATTTTAATTTTTCCTCAGACATAATGTTTTTCTGTACAAATCTATTATAATCATATACCACAGCTCTAGACTTCTTTGAATTAAACATACCCTAATTAAATCCAGTAATAGTTTAAAGAGCTTGTAGATACATTAATTAGCTGATTAAAGAAGTTCTTGTTTTGTTTTGTTTTATATTGTAATATACAATGGACAAGGGAAATAAAATTTGATGTTTTGATTCAAATTCAATGTCTTGATGACAATGAAGTTATGAAATATGTAAAAATAAAATATCAAAAAAAGTTAAATATAATGATTACATGTTGTAAATGTCCATTGTTAAAGACCAACCAACTATAATGAAGAGCAGCAATAAAAGCCTTTTTCCTTTCACATGTTGATTGTTTCGAGGCATTTTTGTCTCTTGTATATCAACCCTATATCCCTTCTTTTTCAAGAATGCCGTCATGCCACAATACATTTTACAATTGTGTTTAGAATTTCATGCCATATTTCCACAAAAATTCACCTTGAAATGGAGTATTGTGTGATAAGAAGCTATTGCTACCACTGGGACAGTTTAAATCAAAGCCACACAGTAACAAAAACATTTAAAGAAGGATCATTCTTTTAGCAATACTAAGTGATAAGGAAGTAATTGTTCTGTTTTCAACATTTTTCATTTGCAAGCATTTTAATGTTGTAACTTTTATTAGAGTCTTGCATATAAATATGAGGTAAATACATTGTAATAACTTCCATCTCAATTTTACATGTTTAAATGAATCACATATAATTTTTCCATGACTGAAAATACTGTTTATATGAATAAAAGGAGATTTTGCGTATACTATAAATTCAAAAATTTTTGCATGCTTTAATTACTGTTGAACAACTGAAAAAATGGGAGATTAATTATTGTGATTTCAAGAAACACTGTATACAAATAACGGTTTCAAAAAAACAAGTTTTTATTTTTACAAAACATATACCTTCACAATTTTTGCATAAAAAAAAACATTGCAAACATTTCTGAATTTACAGTACAATAAACACTGAATACAAATAATACTTTCAGAATTCAAAATGCAACTTTTTATTTTTGAAAAACCTATCCCATCACAATTTTCACAGTTATAAAATGATACCTCAATGAGATAGCAACAGAGGACACCAAAAACTAAAAAATGGGCATCAATAACAGACAAGTGTCTACATCAAATCATCATCATTAATCTACTTTCAAATATCATAAAGAATGTATATATATCTTACATAAAATATATAAATCACACCTAGCTTTCTTAAACCTATGAATTCGCAAATTTTATACTTTGTTAGTGCTATACTAAAATTAACAGTATGTCATGTCAGACAGAATTATCATCTGCTCTATTTTCAAATCTTCATACAATTGTACATGTACCATAATTACTCGTTTAAAATCTTACAGCAGCTGTTTTAAATTTTCAAATATTATACAAATAAACTCATCATAGATACCAGGATTGAAATTTTGTATTTGCGCCAGACTTGTGTTTCGTCTAGAAAAGAATATAGCTGCCAATATCATAATTTAGTATGTTAATAATCATTTTCCATCATTTTTGAGTCAATAAACTAGCTTTAGTTTTATTTTTTCTTCTGTTTTGCTCTTCCATCATTTTTGCTATATACCGATCCTGTTTCTTTTGAATTTCTAGTTCATTCAATTTCTTCTTATAAACAACCTCCTGTTCTTTTACTTTGCCTTCCAAAAATTTTAATTCTTCCGTTTTTGATTCTAAATCATCTTGCTGTTTTTCACACTGTTTTGTTACATCTGTAAAAATAAATTTGAATGTTAAACATATCATCAACTTGTGTAATAATCATTTAAGATTTCTACATACAAGATACAAGAAAAAAGTAAAATCACAAAAATACTGAACACCAAGGAAAATTCAAAACAGAAAGTCCCTAATCAAACGGCAAAATCAAAAGCTCAAACACATCAAACGAATGGATAACATATTCCTGACTTGGTACAGGCATTTTCTTATGAAGAAAATGGTGGATTAAACCTGGTTTTAAAGCTAGCTAAACCTCTCACTTGTATGACAGTCGCATCAAATTCCATTATATTGACAACAATGTGTGAACAAAACAAACACAATAGGTAAAAATGTCACAAATAGGGGTACAACAGCAACATGAACCCCACCAAAAACTGGGGGTGATCTCGGTGCTCCGGAAGGGTAAGCAGATCCTGCTTCACATGTGGCACCCATCGTGTTGCTCATGTTATTACAAATTCAGTAAATAGTCTAATTCAGTAGGTCACATTCGTGAAAAGGGAACGGGATTGTAGTTACGAAAAAAGGAACAGATCCGATATCATCTGTGAATGGGTATTCCATAACGGTCAACCAACTCGTAATGGCGTCCGTAAAATTTACGAAGTGATGATTTCAACTTCACCATTTGGAACTAAAAATGGAAAGGTCACAATTGGGAAGCTAAAATCATCTCTTTTGTCGTAAAGTTTTGTTTTTAACCGACCCTCATTGTCAATTTCTAGATGTAAGTCAAGATATGAGGCAGACTTAACTGTAAAACGGAAAGTCCCTAATCAAATGGCAAAATCAAAAGCTCAAACACATCAAACCCATGGATAACAACTGTCATATTCCTGACGGTACAGGCATTTTTTTATGTAGAAAATGGTGGATTGAACCTGGTTTTATAGCTAGCTAAACCTCTCACTTGTATGACAGTTATTCCATTATATTGACAATGATGCGTGAACAAAACAAACAGGCATAATAGGTAAAAATGTCAAAAATATGGGTACAGCAGTCAACATTGTGTTATAATCTTAATCACTATAAAAACAAACAAATATGTAACAAAGAAGCACAAATAGGCATATATCAAATTTAACAACTCATTCATTGCTTTTTTATTATACGATTTTATTTATCTATGTTAAATCCACCCATAAAGGATTGAAAGATTTTAAGTACTGGAACCGAATCCTTACCATGACAGGCACATGGTTAGGTTAACATTAACTCTGACGTAGAATTGCGCATATGACGTACATCAGTTGATCAGCATGTAAACGTCACACAGGTAGAAATAAAATAATTTTGTCGTTCAAAGTATGAACAGAATATAGTCTATAGTTCTTTTAGGCATATCCTCTGCAGAATCTAAATTAAAAGTTTCCCTTGTCCTTCTTACCACTTGTCTATATGCTTATTATGAATTTCTTATAAAAAAGAGCCATGTCATTATGTATCAAAGAAACACAAAAGGGCATAAAGACAAAGCATTAGCAAATATGAAAGACAAGAATACAAAAATTATCATAGAACAATAACACAATGGCGGGATGTATAAGTACAGAGCCACGTCATATGTATCAAAGAAACACAAAAAGTCATATAGACAAAGCACATTAGCAATAAACTGTTAACACAGAGATATGTCTCTACTTTTTGTTATTTTGATAATGCAAATGTTGAAATTAAAATAGCAATACTTTAAAATGTAAGTTATGCAAATATTCAAAGTCAATGAACCATGACTGAAGGTACAGGGCTTAACAATCTCCATGGAAATGAGATGTGCCAATGCTAATACAACTGCAAACCAAATACCATTGACTTCTCATAAGTCGTTCCCTTTAAACAAACCTAAACACAAACATTAACTTGTAAACTATGATAAAGTTTCAAAGTCAATGAACCATAATAAGGGGGTGGGGCTATATAATCTCCATGGAAATGAAACTTGCAAAAGCCAATACATTTGCATACAAAATATCATTGACATAACATTAGTGGTTCATCTTAAACTGACCTAATCACAAACTAATACATATAAACTAAGCAAAAGTTTCAAAGTCAGTAGACCATGACTGAGGGATAAGGACCAAATATTCTCCATGGAAATGAGATGTGCTAATGGTTATACAACTGCATACCAATTATCATTGACCTACCACTAACGGTTCCCCTTAAACTGACCTAATTACAAACTAATACATGAAAACTAAGCAAAATTTTCAAAGTCAATAGACTATGAATGAGGGAGCGGGGCCAAATAATTTTCATGGAAATGAGATATGCCAATGCTTATACAACTGCATACCAAATATCATTGACCTACCACTAGTGGTTCCCCATAAACTGACCTAATCACAAACTAATACATGTAAACTAAGCAAAGTTTCAAAGACAATAGACCTTGACTGAGGGAGCGGAGCCAAATAGTCTCCATGGTAATGAGATGTGCCAATGCTAATACAACTGCATACCAAATATCATTGACCTACCACTAGTGGTTCACCATAAACTAGACATAATCATAAACTAATACATTGTTGACAACGCCGCTGCCGCCACCGCCAGAAACAGCATACCTATGTCTTGCTTTTTGACTCCGTCAAGGCAAGACAAAAATGAAATATAAGAATACAAAAATTATAGAACAATAACACAATGACGGGATGCATAATTACAGAGTCACATCAAATGGATATCACCAACAACAGACTAAACAGTAAAAGTAATATTAATAGACAAATAAAAGAATACAGGTTATTAAGATGATAAACAACGTCAGTACGCAGAATCTATACTTCAAGACCAAGATGTTTGTTTTTTGACAGAGGGCCCAATTTAACATAACAGGAAAAAGACAAGCTACATAATAACAATGCCACAATGTTACATAAGTCATTGACAAATTTATTTATTATTGGATGAATTTTTATTTGTATAATCTGTTGACATACAAGAAAAAGTGTTCCCTGTGAACTAAGCACATGGACAGTGATTAATTGCATATACACAAAGATAAGCAAGAACAGCTGCTTCAGAACTAAAATAAATGGGGAATGTGTCCATGGGACACAGATGATGCCCCCGCTTGCATATCATATAAAGTTATAAAAGGACATAATTGAAGAACGGTAAAAGAAACGCTTCCCAAATTTGTACCTGATCTGAGTTTTGTGGTAATAAGTATTGTGTATAAGTTTCATAACATTTGGTTGAGGCAAACTTAAGTTAGAGAACGGAAACAAAAAATTCAGCAATTTTTTCCATTTGTAAAGGGGTATAACTCTAGAACGGTAAAAGTGACACCACCAAAATTCAAACTTGATCTGTATTTTGAGGTAATAAGCATTGTGTATAAGTTTCATAACATTTGGTTGAGGCAAACTTAAGTTAGAGAACAGAAACGAAAAATTCAGCAATTTTTCCATTTGTAAAGGGGTATAACTCTAGAACGGTAAAAGTGACACCACCAAAATTCAAACTTGATCTGTGTTTTGTGGTAATAAGCATTGTGTATAAGTTTCATAACATTTGGTTGAGGCAAACTTAAGTTAGAGAACGGAAACCAACTTTGGGACGTACGGACGGACAAGGGTAAAACTTAATGCCCCCTCCTCTACTGCGAGGGCATAAAAATATGTCTGCTGACAGCATAACTTTAATGAGAGTATACACAATACACTGTTAAATAGTTTAGATTTATACATATCATTATTTGACAATTACTTTTATTATAGGATTAAACTCATTTTTGCAAGGTGTATTGATGTGTACACTGAATTTATTTTTGTTGTTGTTTAATTATTAGTTGATATCAACTGTTTTGAAAATGTGCAAACTTCGAACACAAAACTGTTCCAAATGCTCTTGTTTAAAACATATTATCCAATTTTCTATCCCTTACTAAGCTGTCAATACAACCGTGAGGGGTCCAAAAGGCCAAAGTTCAAACTCAGAGGCAAGATCAATGGTAAGCAATGAAACATCTGAAGATGATGCACCTAAATACCAAACAACATAAGTCAGGTGAAAATATGTGGAAGTTCTGGCTTGGACAAGTTTGTACAAAAAGTAACTCAGTATATTTATAAATATTGTAACCTTATTCTTTGATCTAATGACCTTAAAATAATCCAATTTTTCTTTTTTCAAAAGGGCATTACACTAAGTTTGGTCAAAATTGGATGCACGCCTTTAAAGATATCTAACCTAAAACCAAGACTTTCTCTATTTGGCTAAGAATGATGAATGGTTATTTTGCCCACATTTTTAGGATTTTTCATTTCTTGTACCTGTAAGTAAACTGTTCGGTGTCAAAAATTAAATTGACAATATAAAAGTTTCAAAGATTCATACAATTAAACATTAGACTGGTGAAATGGTTATAAAACATTATAGTTTCAATCAGGGTTTAAGCTAGGATTTTGAGGGCTTTAGTCACTTTTGTGTGGGATGAAAATCAACCTTATTTTGGGTTGCAGTAAGGGACCTAGGATGTATATTACTATCTATACATCTTTGTCAGACTTTGAAGGACTTAGGCATACTAGGCAGTTACTGCATGATTTGACTGATGTGGCACTTTAATACGAAGATTAGGATATAAGATCTAGAAATCTAGTTCACAATTTCACTTCAGTTAGTTTCAGGGTACATTCCTAAGGGAGCCACCATTTGATTTTTATGGGGGGGGGGGGGGGGGGGGGCTAGGATGAAAAATTTTGTCCTGCCTTTTTATTTTTCCCTCTATTCAGTCCTGCCTTTTTATTTTTCACTCTATTCGGTCCTGCCTTTTTTTTTAATTTATCCTGACTTTTTTATTTAACTGGCATCCACTAGATATATAAAAGTTAAATCTATTTTGCATATCAGAAAGATAAAATCTTTTTTTGAATATGATGGGCATTTTTTTTCCTTCCTGCAGAAGGTGTAAAAATAAACAAACACCTGAATTGCATTTGATACTGTCCACTCAGTTACTACCTTTAACTCACCTATAGATGTGTAGATATCTATTGTCCATGCCAATCAAGGACAATCAATACAATACAAATCAGTTGTTACCTGAGATGGAGCATCTCAAAGTTATATCCCAACTTAGTTTATTTTTACACCTTCAGCAGGAACGGAAAAAAATGCCCATCATAATCCAAAAAAGATTTTATATTTCTGATATGCAAAATAAATTTAACTTTTATACATCTAGTGGATGCCAGGCCTTAAAACTTTCCAAACTGAACAGGTAAGCCTGTACACAGAGTAGTTTTTGAGGTGAAAATACGGCCATATTTGTCCATTTGTTATGATGAACCTTAATTGTCATCCTGCCTTTTTTTTTGCAAATACTCTCATCCTGCCTTTTTTTTTACTCAAAACTCTTGTCCTGCCTATTTTTTTCAAATTTCATCCTAGCCCCCCCATAACAATCAAATGGTAGCTCCCTAATCAGCAAAAGTTGGTATCCATTTTTTTTTTAAACCAGGAATCACACCATTAACGAATTTGTAAGGACTATTTCACTGCATTATTCATACTCATTATCCTTAAAAACATTTTAAAGCGATATTTATAATTAATTCTATATGGTTGGAACCAAGGATTTGTACAAATTCTTATTGGAACAATTCTAATGACTTTAAATTGTAAATTTATCATGAATAGATCACGTTTACTTTCGATTTAGAAATGAAATTAAAACGGGAAGTGACAAGTGGATAATAAATTCAGAATGAATCCGGATTCATTTACGGATTGGTTCGTGTTTAAAAAAGGCACGGGAAATTATCATTTTTTAAATTAAATTTGCTAAATAAGAACTATATTTGTCTCTTTCGTTTAGTTTGATACTTTATTATTTCGTATTTTACGTTTTAGTGTCGTTATAAAATTCATAAATATACTTTCGCGCATGCGCAGTTCATCGTAAAAGAAGCACCTGTTTGACTCATGAAAACATTTCTGAATGTTATGAATAAAGTTCTATCTTTTTAATCGAAATTGTCGAAAGTTTTTGATTAAAAGTTATATCAAATATGACGAAAATACGTTCATTTGACGAAACTACGACAAGCGAACTGCAAATTGTGATCGTTTGAGAAATATTGAAATTAAAATGCGAACTGTCCGAGGGAAAACTCAAATGACGAAACTACGACAAACGAACTGCAAATTGTGCTCGTTTGATAAATATTGAAATTGAAATGCCGACTGACTGATTTTACTGGGGAAAATAATTATGATAATCAATTATGAGGTTGATAAATAATTAACAGATTAGTGACCCATCCGATGGCGATAAGCGGATTATCTGTAATCACAACTTATAACACCTTTTGTAAATGTTAATTAGCTGAGGATCATAAACTTGTCCGAAACAATAAGACAGGTAGAATTATAGTATTTTCATGCGAAAATATTTTTACTCTTTCCAAATTTAAGTGACGAAATTGATTTGGAATACTTTCGTCATTTTGAAAACCGTTTCGTAAATGACGAAAATGACGAGCGCTAACAAAATCACTGGTTTCAATGATTAAAACATAGCAAAGTTAACAATAGTTTTATAATTTCCTGAAAATAGGAGTTATTGAATTATCACACTCACTGACTACTTTTAAAGTTCCTGCATCATCTTACCTGTATATTTGCGTTCCAGCTTTATTGACTTTGATGTTTCTTGAATGGCTTTGTTCTGAACTGTCCCAAATCTTTAAAAAAAAATGTTTGAGTAAATCACAGTTTCATTGTTCATGAACCTCTCCCAAGTGGGGAACTTCTTCTTCAAAACTCAATATTTGTTTACCTTTAAGCTAATTTGATGTTGATTGCAGAAATTTAAATGTCTTTGTCAAATTTATATGTATTCACAACTTTTCTAGACATGCAGATTAAAGTGTGACATATCCCAGATCAGTTTTTTTTCGTATGTGTTTAATTTTCATATTGTTCACAGCAGCTAAAAAAAGTGAGAATTGACCAAGTTTAAATTTCAATTCATGTTGACAAAATTATATAAAATTAAGAAGATGTGGTATGATTGCCCATGAGATAACTCTCCACCAGAGACCAAATGACATAAAAGTTTACAACTATAGGTCACCAAACGACCTTCAACAATGAACATAACCCATACTGCATAGTCAGCTATAAAAGGCCCAGAAATGACAAATGTAAAACAATTCAAACAAGAAAACTAACGGCCTGATTTATGTACAAAACAATGAAAGAAAAACAGATATGATATACAGCAACAAACAACAACCACTGAATTACAGGTTCGGACTTGGGACAGGCATATACAGAATGAGGCTAGGTTTAACTAGTTTGTTGGCGCCAAACCCTCCCCCTAACCTGGGACAGTAGTGTAACAGTACAACATAAGAACAAACTATAAAAATGTTTGCTTCTAGGTGTCTTGATTTTAAAGTGTTGCTGTCTTGCTGACTCATTGAATTATAATTATATCCTGTTTCTCCTCTTGTACATCTTTTATACAGAATTATTGTGAAATGAATTCCCTTAACCTTAACCTTAATTCTCTCCGTGCCAGAAGTCGCATAAGGCCTCCACGCTGCTATTCCACCCTTTTCTATCTTTTGCCGCTGTTCTGGCTACGTTCCAGCTTGTCCATCCTTGTTGGTTCCTTTCTTTCTCTGTTGTTCTTCTCCATGTAGTTTTTTGCCTTCCTCTAGTTCTTCACCCTTCGGGAGCCCATTGCAGCGCTACATAACTGTTGTTGTCTCTTTAACGCCTTAATATGTGTCCTATCCATGTCCACTGTCTCCTTCTGATTTCACAACTGATGTTTCTGGTGTTAGCAATTTCGTTTACTGTTTTGTTTGATGTTTTACTTTGCCATCTTATTTTTAGGATCTTTCTTAGGCATTGGTGTTGTGCAATATTCAGTTTCTTTTCTTCAAGGTTTCTGAGTTTCCATGTTTCACATCCATACAATAATACAGGTCTAACTAATGATTTATACAGGTGTGAAATGAATTACGTATATATACACACCAACAAATTTACTTATCAAACTTGTGCTCTGTATTCCATTTCATCGTCTTGTAAATATGAAAAGCATGATACAAATTTATAATATTCATATCTACTTTCAATTGACAATAGTTTTATGTAAATTTGATCTGTAAGTCATTTTATACTCTGATTTAACAAAATAAGCTCCAGATCTACAGGCATAACAAACAAATGTTTGTAGCAATACAATTTTCAAGTAAAATTTTCAAGGGCCATAGTTCCACTTAAATTCAATCAACCATAAAGAAACACAGAGAAGATATGTAAGTCATCTTCATATGAAACTAAAATCAGCTCCAGATCTACAGTCATTACAAAATAAAGTCTGTTTGACAAAACTTAATTGTGATGAAATTTTCTATGTCCAAGGGCCTTAATTCGGTGATGTCAAGCAATTGGAACAACACACAAACTTGATATGTCAGATATCATTATTACAATATTTATTTACCAAATAATCAGCTCCAGATCTGCAAGCATAACAAAAAAAGTCCTGACAGGAACATTTTGCATGAATTCCAAGGGACATAATTCAGCAAAAAGTTAATCAACCAGAATGCAACACAAACTTGATCTGTAAGTCATCATTATACACTAATGTACTAAAAATCAGACCAATATCTGCTGGCATCAAGAAAAAAGTCTGACTACTGTTTGATTTCAGATGGACAGAATAATGGATGGACAAACATAGGTAACGCTATATGCCTTGGCCACTTAGTGGCAAATCTTTAAAACATCATTATAATTACCAAATAAATGACTTAAAAAGTTCTTACGCTTTCTGAAAAGCTGCCTTTTCTCTTTCTATCTGTTTAGTTACAACTTCTATTTCTCCTAGTGCAAATTCCAGTCTGTCAGATACATCATTCAGTTGTTTCTTGGTATTTAAATGAGATAACCTCTCCTCCTGATAAAATTTATAAGAGTTAGAATTAAGATCAGTAAAATATCTCGCATACATATGAGATTTAACCTAAAACAAATTGCCATAGGTCCACAGCCTACTTATAATTCATAGTAACAACAGTTATAATAGTAACATAAGTAGAATAAGATAGTCTATATAAATAAACAACCACAGGTCCATTTCATTGGCAGTTGGTTAAAAAAAAACTTTTATTGAAAAAGACCTGATCATTGTGACTGTTTTAACCCATTTATCTATTTTGATAAAGAAGAACTGCAGATCAACAAAACAAATGTTTAGTGTGAATGCCCTGTCATTTGGTTAAAACAATCTTTTGAAAATAATTTAGTTGTTAACCCATCATACCCAACTATATCAGTCCTATTCAGGACCGATAACTCTGTCTATAAATATTGGCGGGTATACAATGTTGAAATGTATGTCTCATTGGCAATCATACCACATCTTCTTATAACATATTTTTGTACACAAGTTAAAATTTCAATATTGATTTTTTTAATGCCTGGATTTTGCTTAAAACATTGAATTAAAAATTAAACGACAAAAATCATATGCAATGAAGTCTCATTTAATTTTCTATGAAATAAAAAAATCTATTGATTATAAAATTTGAATTAGAGTATTTTTTTTAAACAATTTTCGTGAAACATTAATATTTGGTTATTTTTTTAAGCAAAAATCAACTTATCGAAGAAGTTCTTTATGATATATATTTCTTCGGTAGTGTAGACGGGAAAGAGAATTATATATTTGTACATTTTAGAAAACTTTTGTATATCACTAAAATTAAACTCTGGAAATACATGTGTAGACGGGATGTTAATGTCACCTAATGGCTTTTGGTTTGACACGATTCCTTTGCATTACCTGACAATTTGTTGTTATGTAACATTATAACTTAAATCTGAGTTAACCTGTTCGTATATTAGTCATATTGGTCATAGAAACTTTATAAAGGGACATTAACTTTAATAGGTACAGAGCATTTATCTTTTGTTGTGCATGGTTTTTTTTTCTCTCCAGACGAAAATATTTTTTTTCTAAGAGAATATATTATTTTTCTATATACCGGTAAAGATAAATCATACAGAAAAAAAAAAAAAAAAAATCTTTAAAAAAATGAAAAATATTTTTTTTATAAATTTCAGTGGTAACCATTTTTTCACTTCACACTTGAAATAATTTATTTTTTATCAAGATGTTTAGAAATCAAACATATCAGAATATCAACGAAGAAAATAACAGAAACTGCACAAATTCTGCATGAAAAATACTAGGTGTTTAAAAATACATGCAACACTTCCAAACACATCCGCCATTTTGAAAAATCCTGAAAAATTCACTTTTATACATCGATGTGGGACGTAATTTCCCCTCGATTTAAACTGTTAAAAGTAGCCTCTTTTGCTAGATATATGCTGTGATATTTTCAATATAGCTGCGAAGTATTACTTTTATCTACAGAATTTGTGAATTTGATGTACAAGTAGACATGAGATTGCTAGATTTACTACTGAGTCAATGTGGAAATGATGAGAAAAAATACAATTTTTATGAATAACCGTAATTTAATAAAAAATTAAACTGTCAGAATCAACATTTTTAGGTAGAATTATGTTCGAATACCAAGGATGTAGCTGCAAAAATTAGAAAACGGGTCAGATTAATGAGAAAATTAAACTTTATTGAAGCACTTATGCATTTTATATGGGACAAAATGACACAAAATGGTGGCTCGCTACGGCACCAAAGTCATGTGATGTCTTATTTAGTTGGATATGTTCTCTGTTTTAATAGAGAAGGGATTTAGTGGGTCAGCAGATCAAAAAACATATTTTAGTGGGAATGTGCTATGTATTGTTCAGACAAGAAATAGAATTGAAAGAAAGTTAACAATTTTTTCTTCTTTAAAAGATGATTTTCAAAAAGTGTCTCTTCTAAAGTCAAGACCTCAAGATGGCAATAACTCATACCAGATTTGAAATAGATAAGCTTAAAAATTCAATTTATTTTCAAGAAATGAGGCCATTAAATCTTCATGAAAACTTAGCATAAGCAATGAAAATAAAAGAACACTTCTACCTGAAAATAAAAGAACACTAAAAAATTATACATTTGATTTTAAGGTATATTAACTGCCAGTATAGTTTCACAAACTGTTACATAACAACATCTTTCAATGAGTTAGTTATTTTTTCCTATAATATCCATGTGTGTAAGTATATCACTTGTTTTCTCAACCATTTTCCTATTCCCTATCAATACAAGAACCTGAATAATATCAGACTTTGAAAGAAAATATATTCAAATATTAGTCTGATGACACAATCATTCTGTATCAAAACAAGTAACTTATATTTAGATGTGACAAAATACAAATTCACCTGTAAGTCATTCTCTGCTTCTTCTAATTTACTTCTAGGAACATAGTCATCTCTAATACTTTTCTGAAGAAGAAAAAAAGTTATCACAAGATAATCCTATCTGGAATTTATCAGGAACAATTTATTTTTTATTGTGAATATTTAATAGGAAGGCTTTGTTCTTTTACAATACCAGTTGGCTAAAATTTGTTCATTTGAAAAAAATTTGTACAACAATGTTTAAAACTTGATAAGAAAAGGGCTAATCTTAGTTGTGTTTGTTATTGCCATTACATATACTAATGGCTGTACAATTATCTCCCCTTGATATCAGAACATTGGTTATCTTCAAATTACAGGTCAGCAGACATTTTTTTATTGTTAAAAAATAAATCAACAACTTATTGCCTCATAAAATTTTGTTTAGAATTTAAAACTACTTAAAAAATGTCTTTATGATACAGATAGAAGTTTTCTTTTTAGATTCATTCTTTTTTCAAATGGTGTTGCTGAAATTGACTATCTGTCAACATTCTAAAACAAAAAGACAGAGTCAATCACTGGAATTGTATAGTAAAATGATTTTTATTACACTGTTCTTACTTCATACTAACAGCCTTTCACTTGTAATGGGCTTAAACTTTTTACAAGTTGATTAGTTTGAAGAGTGTTTCTATTAAGCACAGTTATGGTGTGTGTGTAAAAGGTTCAGAGTAAAAACAAGATTTTTATGTTGTATTCTCATAATAGATAGCATATATTTAAACATTTTTAAAGGTAGAAAATGCATTGATAATGCTTATTCTCAATATCAAACTCTCTTTTGTATAAAATCACTCAAAAGGCTCTTATGACTGTGAAGCGTCAAGCATAGAACCCATTCTGCCATTTTATAACCATTAACAATTACAGTGAGAAAATTCACCAACCTGTAGGTTCTTTAACTCTTCTTCATATATGGACTTTGAAGCAAAACTTTCTCTCATGGAATCTTCATGACTGGACAACTGAAAAGAGAAAATATATAAAGGATACACATAAAAAAAATGGAGTCAATTACGGTTATTTGAAAAAATAAAGAATTTCACAAATTTAAAAAGAGAGGCGAAAGATACCAAAGGGATATTCAAACTCATAAGTCGAAAACAAACTTGACAATTCCATGGCAAAAAAAAAACAAAACGAAAAGACAAACAACAGTACACAAAACACAACATTAAAAAACTAACGACTGAGCTGCACAAACCCCCCCCCCCCCCCCCCCCCCCCAAAAAAAAATGTGGGTGATCTCAGGTGCTCAGGAAGGTTAAGCAAATCCTGCTCCACATATGGCACCCTTCTGGTTGATCATATAAGTACAAACTTGGCGATAAGTCTAATTCAGTAGGTCACATTCCAGGAAAAGAGGGTGGACAATGGTTACCACAATTGGAAAATATCCATCTTCATCTGTGAAACAGATATTCCATAACAGTCAATCAACTCGTGATGGCATCCGTAAAATTTGCTAAAGGATGATTTCAACTTCATTGTATGGATCTTGTATCAATAGCTTCCTTGTAAGCAGCAACCCTCTATCAAGGAAATCATGATAGAAAATGCAAGCTCTGGAATATAGTATCAACTGGGAGATATATACTCCATATGCAGGCTCTGTCTGAATGTTGCTACATAGAAATGGAAATTTCACAATTGGGAAGCTTAAATCATCTCTTTTGTCGTAAAGTTTAGTCCTCAACGAACCCTCATTGTCATTTCTAGATGTAGTTGTTTGTTGAAAAACATGTCCTCCAAACATAACAAATATGTTGTCAATCATGAAATCAAGCATCTTGCTTATGTCAATTTCAGAGAATTCATTGTTTGATTCAGAGTGAATTTTTACAAAGTACAATTTATCCCTCCCTAAGACAAGATACTTGTATCTACATTAGCCTTTTTTTTTTATGAAACAAAGCAGGATCAATTCATTCAATTGTCCTTTATTTGGAATGGGGAATACTTGCATTGTGAAAGGGTAGAAAAGTCAATTGTGTTAATACTATTACAAGAAGAAAGAGACTTAGATTGGATGTACTCTAACAGATATCTGTAATTTTTAAGTATCCACATCTGATTAAAAAAGCATCTAGAGTAGGTAGTTTAACAATAACCGTGAACCCTGGCTACAATGTATGATTGCTGATAAAATTGATATAATAATTTAAAAATGAGTGAATGGTGTGTGATGCAAATGACTAAGTTACAGTTGGATCTTGTTATAACTGTTCACGATTGTTTTCAAACTGTTTAAATGTATCAGTAAAAATTAATCAGGGCGAACAGGTATTATGACGAACTGACCTAGGTTGAACAGGTATTAGGGCGAACATGAATTAGATCGAATGGACCCCAATTCTCGCGACTAGATAATTAAAGATCTTATACATCATGACAAGTCTAGTGCGCAGTCTACAAAACGATAGTGGTGGACAATTAAGTGTGTTCAGCATGTAAGATACACTACTTGTATTATTGTACCTATAACAGACACAGGTAACGTCTGTCTCATATTATGTAAAAAGAGTATTGACAAACAGACTTTCTGTTTAACAATAATCAAGAAGAACTGCGAATTTCGGACGGAATTTGCTACTCGACCAGTACTGAAACAAATACAAATGTAACATGTATTTTAGCCAGACGTAACATCAACTGGATACTTAACGCACATCTTGAGATAACTTTTCGATCACATTCTTTTGAGTTAGAATAATGTCTTGCATCTGATTTTGGACCAAAATATGACTTGGTAAATCTACTGTCTCAGTAACAGACACGGAACGTTCCATCGTTGTGAGTGTCAACAAATTCTTTCAGTGTCATTTAATTTCTTGTATGTAGTTGTAAACATTTGTTGTATCAAACGTCTTAAAGAGTTGGAGAAAATTAACACTAAATTTAAAATAGAAAACTGATCGAGGGCTTTCTTATTATTCCGTACTTACTAAATGAATTTTGTTTTACTAGAGTGTATCCGTTTTGAGTTAACCAGAATTGAAACATAAGTTTTTGAAGAGAAGAGACTTAAAACTACATTTTTATTGAAGAGAATATTGAATAACGACCAAAATTTATCATGGTCAAATTAAATTCATTGCCAAAACGGTATTGCTTTAAAAAGTTAGTTTTATAACTTCCGGTTAGCAGACGATAACCACAGACTGGAGAAATTTAGTTATATATTGATCCCTTTTGCTGAGAATTAAACATATGACAATGGGACAACAGATGTGCAAATTTAAAATCAAACGATTTTTCTGTATGAATCTATTTTTAAAACCTGTTATTCCAATAAAATGTTATTCAGTGAACTATAGTATATATAAGTATTTAAAATTTTGTGTAGCTATATACTTTTTGTGTGACATAAAAAGAATGTAAGTTTTAAAAATTTTAATTATATTAATATGACTTATTTAACTATGATATACTTAATCAATTAAATGTATTATAATTTCATACGAATCATGTTGGGTGAATTTTGGTAAAAATGTCATAAAGTAGTTATTTAAAATTAACAAATGCCTTGAAATGAGTTTAGCAGGTTGGGATACACCTTATTGCTATTTGTCCACCATTACTCGACATCACAAAGGTCAAGTGGCTCATATTCCCAAATAGAGATAAGGTCTATTATTTCCCAAATGGGTCAATATAAATATGGATAATTATAGAATAACTAATCCAAAGATTCAAATATAAAAAAAACATTTACTCACTAGTAAATGTGCTTTGAAAAATATTCAAAAGTTGAAAATTTTTCGATATTTTTTTATATTTGGATCAGTTGTCTTTTTTATTACATTGACCATAGACTTAATGGAAATAAAGAAGAAAATGAAGGGAACTTTAATATCTTTTTCTACGCTTTCTCAACTGCTTAGATGCAAAGTCATCGACAACGTCTTGACAACACTCATTGTTGTAAGACGTCAGAGGAGTGAAATTATCAGATTTATTTCAGATGTAAAATAATCAGTTTTTATTTCACTGGGAAATTGCTGTAATTTATTGCAACCATTGTAATAAATCAGCTTTATTTAGAGTTGGTATAGTATACATAAGCAAGCCAAGGACATAACATATTAAGCTCTATTAAGCTTTTAACCGATATTTGCAATGATAATTCATTTGGGAGATAATCCCCAACCTGTTGTTGAGGGCACACTCGGCACATAGGCTCTCTAAAAACATGAAGAAAAAAAAATGTTTTGAAGGTACAATTACAGCCAACTTTATTTATATACAATCCATTTTCATTTCCACTTGAAAAGGAATCACAGGCAAGCTTTCTTGTATCTTTTCCTTTCTTGTGAAGCAAAAAGTATTGTTTTTTCCCTTCACTCAATAAACATAATTTTACGTTTCTTAATTTACCGTCCAAATTAAGCCATTAATTATTGATTGACTCTGTAATTTCAGATGATTTGAACATAATTAACAAATCCCATGGAAGGAAGAAAGTTGAAAGATCACATTATACAGTTATATCAGTCAATAAAACAGGTAAAATTGGCTTGTCTGAATTTAAGATACTTTTCCTAAGAAAAAGATTGTTTTAGTAACTATTTCATGTTTTGTTGTTAATTGTTTTAGTATAATGATTCTCAGTGGAAGATCAGTATGGTAATTTATAATTGGACAGATGTCTTTTATTTGTGTAAGCTTACTTATCAAGAGGTAATGGTATAAGTAATTTTTTAACAAGTAATTTCCAATGAAATTTTTTTGTTAATGGCAACTAAAAGAATCACTGATAAATATTTTTTTTTTGAATGGCAACTAAAAGGATCACTGATAGATAAAGTCAGAATAAAATGTAAATGTTTTTTTTTTCTCAACATAACTGAAATGTCATGTATTTTATTTTGGACTTTACAATAATAAAATATGCATTTCCTTTTTGTCATTGACAGGTACTTTCAAATGAAGAAAGACAGTTTTTATATAAATCCTTAAAGGAGTATAAAGGCTGTCATGATACAGATAAATTAGCATTACAATTGTGTAGACTCTGTACTTCATCAGAAAATGTAGAGATAGTCAGATTTGTGTGGACAGAAATAATCCATGGCCAGTCAGCAGAATTTGACCAGATTTTGAAGGAATATCCAGTCGAACAATTTCAGAATCAACAGATCATATTGAAAGCTGATAATTTAAGAAGAGAAAAACCTTTTAAATCTCATACAGGTACATTGCTTTGTGACATAAAAAGAAAACAACAGATTAAATTGCTTTTTAGTTGATTTTTCAGTCAGCTGATACCTTATAATATCTATATTCAAACAATTTTTGGCTCTTATTCATCATTTATTATTTGATGATTAATTCCTAAAATTGATTATAATTTAATGAAATTTGTTATGTATTGAATTTTGAATCATCTGTTGCCTGTTCATATTAGATGATATCAGGTAACATGTTGGATTAACAATTTTATATGTATAGGTATCTTCAGTCTAAATGTATAAACATGTAAACAGAAATTGATTTTAAGAAAAAGATTTTTTTTGTATTTTTAAATGACGTAATACTTCAGAGGATAAGCTATTATAACTGTTTTAATTTTTTTTATATATGAAATTAAGGTGAACTATAAACAAATGTAACTTTTAATTTGTCCTGAGTTAAATGGTGAAAACTTTTCGAAATTGAACTAAAAGTATCACAGGTGACATTTTAAATCAAGCCAAAAAATGTGGGTGAGACATAAATGTACTTTTACCCACCCCTTCATCTCTCAGGATGTAGTCAAGTTCTGGGTGTAAGTTAATATTGCATAATCCGTTAACATATATTACAACATTTTAGTCACACTGATCTACATTTAATGTTTTGATGACTATGAAAAAATTTTGCATTCAGGTTCCTTTCTCACTAAACTATCATTCATTGTATGTATATATATATAAAAATGATAATTGATGTTACAGTTTCCTTAAACATTCCAATAGATTTCTAAAAGTTTTGGTCAATTTCTCATATCAGGGACTTTGGTTAAGTGTTTATGTCCATTTTATCTGAAATCTTTGATGGTACATGTATAATATTTTTCTGCTATGTATACAATCCTTTAAGATAGTATGAAATAGTTCTGAAAAATCAGTCATCAAGACATATTTTCTGCTTTAGTGCCTTTTCTTAAGTTTTTTATGTAAGTCCATATCTCTGAGCTCAAACATATATTTCACAGTAACAATGATATCATGTTATATAATGCAAAACTATTCCATGGCATTAGGATCGCATGACCTACTTTTTATGCTTGATTGCCCTTGATCTATATTATAAACATCCGATCTGATATCGGTGATATCTTACAAATAGAACTTTATTTAAGAATTAATGCAAATTTTGAGGGCCATGCATTTCTCTGACTATACGATTTATCGAAATACTTTGATGTCAATCGGATAATAAAAAGATGACTTGTTAAATCAAGTAAAATTTGGCAATTGATATTGTTTGGCTTAGAATAGATACAAACTATAAAACTTGGTCTGTATTTAGTATGAGGGATGTGTTACCCATGTAAATATTTTGTACACTTACATTTGTTGTTATTTAAAAATTTCATCTGACTTCACATTATGCTCATAAGAATACCTAAAGAAATCTCTCTTCATCTCTCCATTTATCTAAAAGTTATCTTTTTTTAGGAAGACTATTTGATGAGGATAGTCCAACTGGTAATCTGCATCTAATTAAGATTCATAAAGCAGAGGACAACAATATTGGTTTCTGTATCAGAGGTGGACTGGAGCATGGACTTGGGGTCTATGTTAGTGGAGTTGATCAAGGTTCAGCTGCAGGTAAGAAGATTGGTTTGAGTTGGTTCTGTGTCAGAGGTAGACGGGTGCATGGACTTGGGGTCTATGTTAGTAGAGTTGATAAAGGTTTAGCTGCAGGTAAGGAGATTGGTTAAAGTGGGTTCTGTGCCAGAGGCGGACTGGAGCATGGACTTGGGGTCTATGTTAGTAGAGTTGATAAAGGTTTAGCTGCAGGTAAGGAGATTGGTTAAAGTGGGTCCTGTGTCAGAGGTGGACTGGAGCATGGACATGGGGTCTATGTTAGTGGATTTTATAACGGTTTAGCTGCAGGTCAGTTTGAATGGGCTCAGTGTCAAAAAGGATTGGCTTTAGCTTGAGGTGTTAGTAGATAATAATAAAACATTCAGTAGCTGATAAGAGAAATAAGTTTGAGCATGTTCTATATCAGAAAGGGTGCACTTGCACTTGATCTTGTACTTGATATCTTTTGAATTCAAGATAAGAAAAGGTTCAGTAGCAGGTATTGGAGATAAATTTGAGCGGACTGTATCAGAAAGGGTGGACTTGCACTTGACCTTGCACTTGATATCTTTATTTTCTTCTGATAAAGGTTCAGGTTATAGTGATAAAATTGTCAGTGAGTTCAGTATCATAAATGGAATGTAACATGAGCTGGGTACTGATATCAGTGGGGTGGACACATTGCACCATATATTAATGCATTATTGAGATTTGGAAGGTGCCCAGACTTTTAATGCTGGGGTGTATAAATGATTTAAATAGAAACTGAATATCTTTGTTAGAATAAGGCAATTAATTTATTTATTCAACAATCAGCCTACTTGCTGAACTAAGCATTGATTTATAGTGAACAATTAAATTTATATCTGCAATTACTTGATTATTAAAACAAATGATATAATTTTTTTGACTATCAAACATTCTGAATTAAATTTTTTCTTTTAGCATGCTCATCTAAAGTGCAGGAGGTTAGGATGGGTTCATTTCCCTACTGAATCAAACTAAAGTCTTCGAAATTGGTATTTGCTG